TTTTGAGGTCCGCTCGAGCGGGGTAATGGCCGCTCGAGCGGGAAAATCGTGCTCCCAGCATTTTTGCAGAGTTGGATGCCCGCTCGAGCGGGACACTTCACGCTCGAGCGTGGATTTTTGTAGACAGGCCTTCAGCTCGAGCGCTCTATTCCACGCTCGAGCGCATCTTTCGTGCAACCAGTACTTTTGCAGGCCTTAAGGGTCCGCTCGAGCGGAGAAGTTTACGCTCGAGCGGGGACCCTGTTTCCTGGAATTTTGTTCATGCATTCTGTGATTCGTTTTCCGTTCCCTTTCACTGGTATGGATTCTGTTTGGGTTGTAGTTGATAGACTGACTAAATCTGCACATTTTCTGCCTGTCAAAACTACATTTACTGCTTACAGGTTGGCTACTATTTATGTTGATGAAATTGTCCGTTTACACGGAGTTCCGGTATCCATTGTGTCGGATAGAGATCCGAAATTTGTATCTAGATTGTGGAAGAGTTTGTAGGAAGCCATGGGAACAGAACTAAGGTTCAGCACTGCATTCCACCCACAGACAGATGGGCAGTCAGAACGAACGATACAGACTTTGGAAGATATGCTTCGCATGTGTGCTTTGGATTTCTGGGGGAGTTGGGAAGATTACTTGCCACTTGCAGAATTTGATTATATTTTTTGGCCAAATTTATAAACTGAGACCACCGATTTATAAATCAAGAATTTACCAAACAAATTTTTATTTGAGTTTTTTAATTTTTTGTAAATATAAACTGAAAATTGAAAACGTAAGTGTTATCAAACGGCACCAACTTGTTTGTCTACAAATGAATTGAAAAGATAACATTAATAAAATAAGGAAAGAAATTATAAGAACTCAAGGGAAAACAAGGGAAAAAAGTTTGGGAAATTATTGGAAAATATAAGGAAAAAATTTAGAAATTAATAAAGGGCAATAGACTGATTGAAATTGCATAATTGTAACAAAACCATCGACAGTTGTGGGGAAAAGGGAAAAAGCTGCCTCAGTATGCCGACAAAATATATCATTTTGGTAGGAGGGAGCCATCAAGGGTTTCGTGAAAAGGAAGTGCAATTGCAACATATGTAATGTCCATGATACAAAAGAATGATCAGGGTTACTACTATGCTTTACACGTAGTCATTGTTCCCTATTAATTCCCAGCAACATGAATAATGGTTTTGCAAATCTGTGACTGGTTAGGAGTCACCATTGGTTCAATGGTTAACACCTAGTCTAATAATCTTGATATGGGTTCAATTTTTGAGACCACAACTTTGTGCATTATATTAAAGGTTAGGTGTGTACTCATTTTCCTCTCCCTCCCAAACACACATTATGTGTAACTAATTTATTGAATCAGATTAGCTTCCATTGCATGCAAAATGGCAAACTACTCTGCACCCATACAATGGTTTATCCAAAATTGAGGTTTGTTTGTATCCTCCTCTTCAAATTAATAGTGGAACAATAAACATAGCGTACAAAATAGTTGTTGAACATGCCATAGTTGATATTTTGTGGGTATAAAAGCAACAAAACAAAACAAAAAAAAGTTTCAAAAACGAGTGATAAACTGTGGGTATAAAAATTTATACATAAATAAAAAACAGTTCAGTTGCAATGCAAAACAGGGATAAACTATGAACCTAGAGAAACGTTGCAAAATGCGTACACAAACAAAGCAAAGAGACTTTACATGAAATATTTCACCGTGGTAAAGAACATGATGGTAGAGGGCATGGCTCCAAGCTCTTCCAAGCTTAATTCCTTTTGGGGAATTGTTAAAATTCAATATATAAAGAGAAATAGAGAATTGTATAGATATTGATTGTATTATTGATTGATGTAGAATATGTTTACAATGATGCCTATATATAGAAGAGTAGAGTAGGTAGGTGTGTAGTAGGTGGTAGTAGGTGGTAGTGGTATAGGTGTGTAGTAGGTGGAGTAGGTGGTACTAGGTGGTAGTGGTAGGTTTTAATAGCCCCCTGCAAACTCAAGGAGGAGAGGCACAAATCAACTTGAGTTTGGAAAGAGTAACAAAATAAGAAAATACATAAAATAAAAGAGGATAGGAGACACTGTATGGTCGTGTCAGACCGTTGGTGAAGACACTGTATGGTGATGTCAGACCAGTGTAGGAGCTAACCGGAATCAATGTCGGAACAGTTTATGGGATCATGTCGGACCGATGGAAAAGCTAACCGGAATCAATGTCGGGACAGTTTATGAGGTCATGCTGGACTGATGTAGAAGCTAACCGGAATCAATGTCGGGACAGTTTACGGGGTCATGCCGGACCGATGTAGAAGCTAACCGGAATCAATGTCGGGACAGTTTATGAGGTCATGCTGGACTGATGTAGAAGCTAACCGGAATCAATGTCGGGACAGTTTATGAGGTCATGCTGGACTGATGTAGAAGCTAACCGGAATCAATGTCGGGACAGTTTATGAGTAAAGGAAATATTTTTATGTAAAACAAAAAAAAAAAAAAAAAATACTAAACTCTTAACCTTGCTCTGATACCATGTTAAAAAAGATGTATTATTGATTGATATATTGATCTATATATTACAATGATTCATTGAAACACTCAGCAACATGGCCTCTTCTTCCCGTCCAGCTACCCAGAACCTGCTCACGCTCTTTCCAGAACTGAACGAGCCCACAAGAGAAATAACTGGTGCGGTGGCCAGTGAACCTCAACCAAACACCTCTGGTTTTGCTCCATTGAACTTTCCGATGCGGTCGGTGGAGCAAAAAATGGCGGTGCAAACTGATATTGAGGCTAATCAGTATACTCTGAAGGCATGTGTGGAAAGCATGACGGCGGTCACAAATTTGTCGAACCGGCTACAGAGTAGGACAAATGAGGTGCAGCATTTAAATTCCCAGCTGGCTCTGCTCCAACGCATGTATAAGGATGCGCGAGCAGAGATAAGCGTGCTAAAGACGGAAAACAAGGAGCTGAAGCGGAAGGCCACCGTGATGTTCCGATTTGGAGGTCCACCATACGCTGTAGTGGAGGAGCAGGGAGGAGGCAACTTGCTTGGTGGTCTAGGAAGCACGGAGGCAACACCGTCAAGGGTCGCCCAGGACGGAGGCAAGAAGAAAAGACCGGCGGCAGAGTAGAGAAGTGAGGTCGGTGGGTGGCCGTCTGCAGAAAAGAAAAACAAATCTTTTGGTGTTGTTTTTTTTTTTTTGTGTGTTTTGGTTTTGTTTTGTGGAATGAAAATAAAAGAAAATGGTGAAAAATCAGAAGTGGTTGGAATGTACATATATATAGATATATATAGAACATAAAAGATAATGGATGAGAGGGATGGAACCCGGAGTAATAAGAATAATAATAATAATAAAATGGGTAGCATGGAGTGGGCGGTGGTACAAAAATATTGGGTAGAAAAAGAGGGAGGTGGTGGAAAAGTGAGGCCACTCATGTTATTAAAATATAGAATAAATTAAGGAATTAAGAAAGTGGTATTGTGTGGCGGAATAAATATATATATATGAAAAAGGAAAATGATGGGAGCATTGGCGGAGGGACATGCCCATGTGTTTTCAAACTGCCAAAAGGAAGAGAGAGAGAGCTAGTGTATGCATGTATCTGTGTGTGATCAGGGAGATCTGCCCCATGTTGAGAATAAGATGTGGAACACAACAACCTGAAAGAGAGAGAGAAGGGTAAAAGGGTTTGCTACTCAAGTAGCAATTTCACCACCTCACAACTAAACCCTTTTACAGCCATATGCAATGCAGTCTGCCCTTTCTTGTTGCAGCAGTTATAAGAGGGGTTGCATTTGATGGGCCCGTTGTTTTACGTAGCTCTGGCTCATGATCAAGCAGCACCTGGACAATGGCATGGTGTCCTTGAGTTGCGGCTATGTGCAAAGGATTGAAACCAGACGCAAGGAAGGCCGGTGTCGCAACGGAGCTTCAGCAAAGGGACATCGACGTGCAAGCGGCTGTGGTCTCCGGCGACTGAACAGTAGTGCACTCAGCAGGTTGAAGAAAGGAAATTTTAAGGTATGTGTAGAAAATTCGAGCAGACTAGGTTGAGGTCCGGCGGGCGGCCAAGGCGAGGTTGCCGCCCGCCCGGTGAAGCGAAAAATACTAAGTTCTTAACCTTGCTCTGATACCATGTTAAAATTCAATGTATAAAGAGAAATAGAGAATTGTATAGATATTGATTGTATTATTGATTGATGTAGAATATGTTTACAATGATGCCTATATATAGAAGAGTAGAGTAGGTAGGTGTGTAGTAGGTGGAGTAGGTGGTAGTAGGTGGTAGTGGTATAGGTGTGTAGTAGGTGGAGTAGGTGGTAGTAGGTGGTAGTGGTAGGTTTTAATAGGAATAACATCACCGTGGTAAATTTTAACGCTGATTTGTAAATTTTTTTTTCCCTTGATACCCACCCATTCCTTTTTACATAAATGAGTTCCCAGAGAAATCCCAAAAAACACTATTATGGGTTTAGAACCACAAAAAAAAAATATTTGGGTTGGGGCCATTACCATTGGATTCCTTCAAAGGTAACAAGAAGCTAAGAAGAAGGAAGAATCTAATTTGGCAAACATTAGGCTTGTGTTGCTTGCAGAAAGGCCACTCTAATGAGCAATCCCATAAAATTCTGATTTGATCCCATAAATATTTAGCTTCTTAAAACTACCCAACTTATGATTATACAACACAAGAAGATCCTTGTTAACAAGCATCAAGATTTTCGCACTCTTTAGAATCATAATTGGCTCATAAGAGCCCTAATTCCCTCTCTTACCAATCTCGTTTTCAATAACCAACTCTTTGGTCCAAGACTCCTTGATCCCATAATCTTTCATTAACCATATATCGATACGAAGAGGACTAGAAAAATCACAAATGGAGAGACAATCTTCTAGCACACCCACGCGTATATGATCATGAAATTCCTTATGCAGACCAAACTCAGGAGGTTCAGGGACAACCCGAAATTGCTCGCTGCCAAAATCAAAACAACAAATGACGTCGGGACTATCACATGCGAAATTAAGCCAATGAAGAGCTCCATTGACGAAAGAATTGAATGAGTGATTTGTCAAATAGTAAGGAACACTCCCTATGTTTCTCCACAACCCTTCACCAATTGTGTAAATCTTTGCCTTTGCCTCATCCCGATAAGTCTCTAACTCAGTAAAGGGGTCGAAAGACTCGAGGACCCGTTGAAGAAAAAACTGTATCCCCTTGTATTGGTTAGTCTTGGGACTAAAACCGAGAGCATTGACAGTTCGATGATACTTAATTCCATCATATGTTGTCCATGGTAAGACAATGTAGTCACCCAGAATTGGATTGCATACGAAAATTTCAGAATCATTAAAACACAAGCAAAGCAAACCATTGTAGGAGTTAACTATGTGGCATCCAAGAAGTGGGAAGTTAATTTTGGGGTTGAGTTTCAATTGGGCTTCGCGGGGAGGAATTTTATGGAGGGTTTGGAGGTCAACCAAGTGGAGTTGGTTCGATCTACGGTTGCAGTAAAAGGGTTTGAGCAAGAGGCTGACTGGTGATCTTGAGAGGTGGAGATTGACGAAGTGAGGGTCTGAGATTAGAGAAAGCCAGTGCTTGGAAACGAGTTGGCAAAGGAAGAGGGTTTTGACGGGGAGTCTTGAGAGGATTTCGAGGATGATTTGGGATGGAAGCTTTTTTGGGATGGAGTGTTTCTTCTTCTTGTTGTTGGGTATGCTCTGTTTCATCATGGTGTCTTCTTGTTAAGATGGAGATTATTTAGGCCTCGTTTGGGAACCAGCCCATTTAACTAAAAAGTCAAAAAATTACTAAAAAAGTCAAAAAGTCAACAACCTATACCAAAAAGTCAAAAATTCTCTTTTCTCTCTACTTTTTTGCACATCTTTTCGTAAAAGGACAAAAAGTCATCTAAAACATACTAATTTTTTTTAGCTCATATTTTAGCCAAATAGCCAAAAAGTTACTAAATTAGCTTGTTCCCAAACGAGGCCTTATTTGTATCTCTTCAATGGGGGGATTAAAAAGGAGAAATGTAACTTGTTATATATATATATATGTGTATATTGCAATTTTAGAGGAGGATGGAATTGAAATTTGAAACATTTGGGCGATTGTTTTTGGAGGGAGCTCAAGCAAAGGGTCGTTCTCCTCTAATATTTGGACTCGGGAAAAAAAATTGAGGTGAAATAGATCGCAGGAGGGTTAGGGATTGTGAGACCTTTGACATGGGAAAGACAGTGGAACAGCAAAAGATTTGAGACGTTTACCTACCCAAGGATTATTACCATGAAACTTTTCCGAAAAGTTAACCATTAAACTTATCCGAGAAGTTAATCATGATTTAAATAGTTTATTAATTTATTTTAGTCACATTATTTTTTTTTATTTTATATATTTTTTCATAATAAGTAAAATAAATTAACTTAATAGTTGTTTGGAATATTCTAAATAAGCGTACTTTTAATTTTTCAGCATTCTTTTACATGTAGGGCCACCAGTACCCTTGAGTAATGGCCCTATGAGTAAGTGATCTGCCCCCAGCATGGTTTCTACATACTCCTTCATGTATTTCATACAAGAAGTCTTCAACCTGGGAGAGATGCACACATCTCAAAAGGGGACAAGTAAAAGACTTTCTATAGAGAAGTCCTTCTATTGTTAGGCTAAACCTAGCTAACTTTAGTCTGGTCTTGTGTGCTTCTTTGAGATCATCTGGTAGCTTCCCATCTCTGAGGAACATTACTATTGCATCCATCCAACTTGGGCCCATCTCTAAGAACATGGCTTCGTACTCTGTGATCAATGATTTCACACTTGGGCTTGACAAATAATCAACCATTATTGTCCTTGCCTCTCCTGATTTCATTGCACTAGCCAGGTTAGCCAAGGCATCGGCATGGTTGTTGTCATCTCAGCTAACCTGCTGTAGTCGGCAGTCCTGAAACAAGGCTAACAGTCTAACAACCTCTTTGACATAGGCTATCATTCTTTCATCTCTGACTGCATATTTGTTTGTTGCCTAGTTCACAATAAACAGGGAGTCACAGAAGACTACCACCTCATCGGCTTCCATTGCTGCTGCCAACTTCAATCCTGCGATCAGTGTTTCATAGTCTGCTTCATTGTTTGAGGCCTTAAACCCCAGTTGAATAGATTATTCTAACATCCGCCCATCTGGTGATACTAGTACTACTCTTGCCCCCGCTCCTTGATGGTTTGAACTCTCATTCACAAACAAGCGGAATGAGTCGCAGATATAAATATCACAAGGCTTGAGTTTCTCTTTCTTCTCTTGCTCTACTGTGGGGGTTTTCATTCCCAGTTGGGTCTCTTTTTGTTCCCCTAGGCACCCTAAGCCGCGGTTCATCAAAGCAACTGCTCATCGGAGCCCGATGTGGGATGGCTCCAGGTGTGAGCTCAGCCACAAAGTCGGCCAAAACCTGGCCCTTAATTGCTGTTCTGGGCCTAAATTCCAAGTTGTATTGGCCCAGTACTACTGCCCATCTGGCTACCCTGCCTATCAGATCTCCTTGTTATAGAAGGGACTTCAAGGGGTGCTCAGTTAATACCACAATCTTGTGGGCTTGGAAATAATGGTTCAACTTCTTGGAGGCCATCATTAAGGCCAATGCCAATTTTTCCAGGGGTAAATACCTGGTCTCTGTGCCTGCAAGGGTTTTAATCACATAGTATACTGCCATTTGTTCTCCCTTCTCTTATCTGATTACCACTACACTCACTGCATACTCTAAAACCGCCAAGTATAAGAACAGTTCCCCTCAATGTACTGGATTTGAGAGAACTGGAGCTGTGGTCAGGTATTTCTTCAAGTCGGCCAAGGCAACTTCACACTCATCTATGCACAAAAAATCTATGGCTTTCTTTAATAAACTGAAAAATGGTTTACATTTATTTGAACTTTTACTTATAAACCTATTGAGGGTTGCGGCCCTTCCTGTTAGCATTTGCAGTTGTTTTGCCGATGTTGGGTTTTTCAAGTCCAAGATAGCTTTGATTTGATCTAGGCTTGCCTCAATGTCCCTTCTGATAACCAAGTATCCCAAGAACTTACCAGACCCAAGTCCAAATGCACATTTCGCAACATTGAATCGGAGTCGATATGTTCTAAGGATGTTGAAAACTGTCTTCAAGTCGACCAGATGATTCTCAGGTTCTTTGGTCTTCACGACCATATCATCAATGTATACTTCCACTGTTTTGCCAATCAAATGTCTGAACATCTTGGTCACCAACCTCTGGTAGGTTGCTCATGCATTTTTCAACCCGAAAGGCATCACTCTATAGCAGTACAACCCTTTTGGGGTGATAAATACGGTTTTCTCCTCATCAAGGAGATACATTGCTATCTGATGGTACCCTCTATAAGCGTCCAAGAAACTCATTCTTCCATACCTTGAAGTGACATCCATTAATTAATTGATCTTGGGGAGTGGGAAACTGTCTTTGGAACAAGCCTTATTCAGGCTAGTGAAGTTCGCGCAGACCCTCCACTTCCCATACTTTTTTTTCACAACCATAGTGTTGGACAGCCAAGTAGGGTAGTTTACCTCTCAGATGGCTCTAGCCTCTAACAATTTGTCCACTTTCTCTTCTACTGCCTTCACATAAACCAACGTCGGCCTCCTTGCTCGTTGAATGGCGGGTTTAGCCGACCTTTCTACGTTTAGTCTGTGGCATGTAACCTCAGGGTCAATGCTAGGCATCTCATATGGCGTCCAGGCAAACACCTCTATGTTTTCTCGCAAGAATGCTTCCTACTCTCTTTCCTCCTTCTCGGCCAAGCCTGAGTCGAGGAGAAAGAAGCGCTCCTCATCCCCTTGGTGGACCAGAATTTTCTTCAAGGCTTCATCGCTTTTGTCGACCAACTCTTTGCCGACGTCATCCAGGACCTCCATGTCCTCGTCCTCAATTTCGACTGTCTCTGCTTCTCTCACGTTGCAGGTGGATTTCATTGCTGCTATGGAGTAATTCTTTGCTTGCACCTGATCCTCTCTGACCTCCTCAATTCCATGCTCTATTGAGAATCGTTACAGTTGGTGCAGTGTTGAGGGAACAACCCTCATTGCGTGCAACCATGGCCTCCCCAAGATAACATTGTAAGGGGAGGGGGTGTCAATTACTGTGAACTCTGTAATTACCTTCTTCGTGCCTGCCTGCACCTCCAAACTTATTGCTCCTAGGGGCCATGTCGGCGTTCTATTGAACCCGACCATTAGACTGTTGGACTGCTCTAGGTCATCTCGGTGTAGGCCGAGCTCCTTGTAACATCTAACATACATGATGTCACAAGAGCTGCTTTGGTCAACCAGAATGCGCGTTACCTGGCACTCTCCAATCTTGAGGGATATCACCAGGGCATCGTTGTGTAGATGCTGCACCATGTTTTGGTCGGCTTCAGTAAAGGACACCATTGGTCCTTGGTACTCATTTTCCCTAGGTCTCTTTTCCTGGACCTAATACACATGCTGTAAGTGTTTTACCCTCTAAGTCTCCCCGCGTACCTCGTTCTCATTAACTTTTGAGTGAATCACATTGATCACTCAAGGTCCGTCTGCCTATGGTTGCGGTGCTGGTAGAGGTGGTGCTGCTGGTGCCTGGGGCAGCCTTGCTTGTTCTTCCTTTGTTTTGACCTCATCTTCTCTTAAGTGACCTTGTCTTACTAGATCTTCCAGATGTGTCTTTAGAGCTCTGCACCCCTAAGTCAGATGCCCAAACTCATTGTGGTAGGCACAGTGCTTCCCAAGGCTTCTTCCCATAAATTCGCCCAGGAACTTCTCTGGTGCTCTATAGTAAGGCTGATTCCTGATCATTTCCAGGACTTTGTAAACCGGGATCCGGAACACTATGGTAACTGCCTGTGCAGCCCTCAGTCCCGTTTCTTGTCTGTTAAAATTTGTATTACCTCAACCTCGCTTCGGCGAGCCGTTCCACTTATCTTGCTTTGACGCCTTTGTTCCTGGCGTGTCTTCCTCTACTCTCGCATATTTCTCGATTCTAGCCATAAGTTCCTCTATATTTTTTGGCAGTGTCTTTGCCGGCAACTTTCGAAGCAGACAGTCATCGTTCAGGCCGTTCTTAAAAGATACGACCGCCAACTCTTGGTTGCACCCTAGTATTCGGTTAAACACATCATAATACATTTTAGCATAAGCCCTGAGGCTTTCATCCTCACCAATTCTCAGAGCCATCAAGGAGTCTACCCTCAATGGCTGCAGTTTATTTGTAATGAACTTGGCCACAAACATCTCGGCCAGGCCTTCCCAACTTTTCACAATTCCTTTCCGCAACTTGTGAAACCAATCTGATACGATTTTCCCAAAGGATGAGGGAAACACCTTGCAGAGCAACGGTTCGTTCTCAGTATACAGTGCCATTGAGTTCAAATATAAGCCGACGTGAAAGTTAGGATCGGACTTACCATCGTATATCTGAAATCTCGGCATGTGGAACCTTTTCGGGGCCTCAAACTTATCCAATTCTACTGAGAATGGCGTTCTTGGCTTGACCGAAGACGTGACCTCGACATCTTGTCGCTTTCTCTAGAGGTAGTCCCTCAAATCCTACTTAGTCCGTCCAGGAGCTCAATTGTCAACCGATTTCAGCCTTTATAGTGCATTGCTCCCGGTGTCGTTGTGAGTCCTCTTGGACCTCCCTTCATTCATCGTGTCGAAACAGAGCTCCTTTCCCTGAACATGTCATTGTTCCTTGA